GTATTGAATTGTGAGAAAAGTAACTTGCAACATGAACATTATGATGTTGCATGGGAAGAAACCTTGGCACGAATACAGAACTCAGAGTGATGGCTACTAATTGTGTAATTACAATATGACTGCAAAAATTGTTACAATAGCTATATCATGGAAATTACATGGTATTTTATACATACATCACGCACAATACAGGTATAACGTATAATGTAGCCTTCTTATCGGTTGGTAGATTTCCCAGTTATAATAATGTTAATATACGGATGTCTCAGCTAACTTGAGCACCCTAAACGTCCTGCTCTTTTTTATGATGCATGGATTGCAAAGGGTGAAATTAATCAATTCGGGGAGATGTATATTCGAAGAAACAACACATTCCATACAAAGTTCCACTTCTCAGAACCCCAACGGCATTGAATGCCGAAGGTCACACTGGTTGGTTAACGTTGGGTTTGGCTAATCAACCAATCCGGCATCCTTCCGTCAAATAATTGTGCCCTCTTTTCTTTTGCCATTGGCTCACTTTTCCGAGAACAATAGAGCGATCGAGAAAACTTGGTCATCGAAGGGGATTTCTTAAGTCCACAGTGCGGCAGAGATCATCTGCCGATCCTACCACACGGTCACATCGAAAGTCCTAGACGATTTTTGTACTCGTATAAGATTCTGAAACAGAGACTGCATAAGTTCGGAAAAGGGTACAACGTGCTGTAACACAATCTTTAACTCCGCTAAAACGAAGGATAGCTTGCTCTAAAATACCCATGTATGAGCACGTCCTATGAATTCTGTCAACCATTCGCACCAGGAATGTTGCAATTTGTACATGCCGGAGGTCGTGACAATATCTTTCTCAACGCGACATCACAGCCGAGGGCAAAATGTATCCAGAGACTTATAACTCCGAGACGCTCACGTGACCTTATGTCTGAGAAATGTATATTTATATAGGGATGTGTCCTGAGTATTTGAAGTACCTGGGCCAGCGAGGTCGCGTGCGAAATGCGGTATGATCGAGGAAGAACGCCTGCGTATGGAAGAAGACAGAGTGTAAGGTTAAATATGGGTGCAGGAATACAAGCTGGTCAGTTTGAAGCCAGTTCCAGACCAGAAGTCTTAGAAATGGGTTTAAGGACAGCATTCTAAGGGTAGCCAGTTGTGAGTTGCAAAAGTCAGTCTTAGAAGTCAGTTGTAAGAGCGTGAGAATGAAACGTTGAGTGAGATCGTGGTCAGTCGGGACAATCGCTGTATAGTTAGTATTCTATTACATTAATCCGTTATTCTATTAATAAACCTTATATTGATCTGTTAAGCAGTGCAATATTATTCGAGTCGATCCCTCCCAAAAGCGACCTTAAATACACATTTTCATATAGGAATGCAATCTTAAGAATATTGTTCAGCATACTTGATTTGACATTTAAACGAATGGGAAGTCAATTTTCAAGCAACGAATACAACCAGTTTGTCATTTATTAGACATTAACCAATAAAACGTATTCAGTTAGATTGTTGCACTCTTTGGTATTTTAGCATATGAAATAGCACATAGTTACCTGAAAAAGTGTCATACCTTTAATATCTTCCGTGCGTATATCAACATTGCTATTATAGTGCAATTACTGATTGAAATGTATGCATCTTGAATGTGAATTTACTTCTCAGTTCTATTTTCAGTGATAGGTGTGCCAATATATGGCCCATATGCACTATCATAAGGCGGAAATGATAGAGAGGATATAAGGATGTTTCGAATATTAAACTTTATTTAACAAGCTGAGAATTAACCACATGACAATCCACATATCAGCGATGGCGATAGTGTACCCTGTGTGGCGTCCGATTGCAGCCAAACCCTTATAAGTTCGTGTTAGGTAACTGTTTCAACTTCTGTAACAACAAAGCAGGTTTGAAGATCCTCTACTGGAACACCAAAAGATTCCATAGACGAAGAAAGGATGTTCCGAGAAGCCTCTGTCATGGTTATGGTATATTTACTTTTGGAAACGCGGCGTTATTGATCAATCGATAACATTCGGTATTCTGACTCTTACATCATCGAGATGAGCGAAGTTTATTCCTCGAGCTGTAGAGTACTCATTTATTGGTAAAATCAGTCTTTATCTGAAACAAAGCGACATTAAATCACCGAACGAATCAAGAGTGATCCGTAGTTTGAGGGTCATTAGTACTTATTCTACCTGTAATCTTATACTTTTTAACGAACGATAGACCATAATCGATGTTAGGAGATAGTCTTCGGATACTTACGCAATCTATTAATTCATTAGTTGATTTTGACTTCTGTTCTTAAAATTCTGCAACGAAAATAAATTATGCCTTATCTACCTTCTCATTTGAAATTTATTGATTTGTATCATAAATGAATACAGTTAAAAAATGGCACAAGTTTTGCAGCTATTTATATTTATGCTTCTCAGATCGAAATAAATAAATCGGTACTGCATGGCAATCTCTATATCGGCGAACATAACCGTTATACCTTTTTCAACATCAGTCGGAATTTCGTAACTTTCGCTGCAGAAATTGACAAAATTTTTTAGATGTCTCGATCCTAAATTGTTGTATTATCCGAAAATTCCATTTTATTTGGACTAGTTATTGCATACCGAATTAATTGATTCCAGTATCTTGTCCGATCCTCCGATCATTCGTCATAGTATATATATTTGCATTTATTTCCATGCATACATGTATGTGGGACCGGGGTGGGTGGATTGGCTAAAGCAATGTTGTTTTACTGCTTCTTAAGATGCAATAAACTTATACTTATTGGCTACGAAACTAGAGACCCGCAACGGGTACGCTCGGCTTTTACTGCTTATACACTATTTTGAGGACCGTGAAGGACTGCTGCTGCCCGCGCCCTGGCACCCTTATTTAAGCATTCACTCTGTTCTTTTCCATACCCAGGCTTTCCTTCGCAATCATGCTTCTTTCCTACGCAACCTCGGAGGGCGCGGTATTTCAAACACTCTGCACGCATATCTAATCTTTCACTCTACATAAATGTTCATTGAAATCGATCCTCTTGCGCGCGGTCTCTTCCGTTCTGGGTCCAGACACACTTGCCATTCTTCCTGGGCCTTACTTATTCCAATCCCACATGTATATATTATCATATTGGTTTGCATTTAAGATCAACATGTACGTTCCTAATGCGATGCTCAAATGATTATTTACTTAGAAACGTAAAGACATTAAAGTGTACGTATTTTATTAACAATACCTACATTATATGTAGTGTTATAAGTAACTTGTAACTTACGATTAACTTAGAATACATAAATTATATGCATTGATCATATATATATATTTATCCGTTGTGTGTTCCCCCGCGTTGAGAATAGCTCGTTATACGCGTTGAGAGAAGCTACTCATTATATAGCTGTTCGTTACAGGATACCGCACAATTCATTCCAATGATTCACCACACTCTATCTTTTCCTCTTTGTATTCCACACTTAAATTATATGTTGACAATTCAGAAATATTTGTATTTGTTGGGTATGTACAATACTACGTTAAGTAGATTGAAGAGGCTGTATGAATGAAATTGTGAACATATACAAGAAAAGTTCACAAGATAGGATATTTAATAAATATCCTTAAAGGAATACATTTCTGGAATCACACAGACTTGAAAATATGCAATGAAGAAACGGGAAATTGGAAGGAGAAAATGACCAATGGTACTGAATTCGTTTGCAGGTTCTTCCACATAGTTTTAAAATGCCACTGTAAATACCCCTGGCAACACCTATAGATGGGCAACTTCAATTGCTCTACACAGAACATAAATTTACATAATCACATATTAAAATAATACAAATGAACTGTAATTTCTCAATATTTGTGTCCTACAAAGAACTCATATGCTTAAAGCAGCATATGGTACAAAACTTCTTTAACAATCCTGTATTAAAGTTTCACATTACAATGAATGATCAAGGAAGATATATCAATTTTGATCAAACGAGCCTATGACTTTGAAGTACTCGTCTAACAATATGATGCCGCACCGCAATTTAGAAAAGCGGACTTACTATCACACAATCTTATATATAAAACAATTGAAAAGTGTGTTTCGTACGTGCAGTTGATAGAACCTGTAATTAGCATTAGTATTGAATGAAACTGCTGAAAAGTACTCAATGAAGTCAATAATGTTCATAAGTATTGGCCTCAAACTCAAAAAAATGTAACCTATCGATTGGAGAATTTTGTCACAGTTTTCCAAATAAAGAGCCGAAACGTGACCAATACTCGCAAACAGTTTGAACGTATACAGAGAGAGAAGTGTTTATCAAAACGTTGATAACAGTAGATGACATATGGCATAAAAGGAAATATCAACAATGAATACTACAAGCAGGAAAATATCGATGATATTAAACTTCCGTTCTGAGTCATGAGACACGAAACTAATTGGAGACTTATACACGTTGATAATGTTATTAAAACAGTTTTCAATTTAAGATACGTAAGGTATAAGATTCAAACCATACAGAAGTTGTTACAACCACAATGTGAGTCGATCTTAAATGCCTATCTACGAAACATATATATAGCCATGGTAATCAGAAGTGAAAGAAAGAACTCAGAATAATATGGCTTTATTCGACAGCAGAATACGTTTTTATTAAATAAACTGCAATTCAACGCTGAACATATATGTAGAAATTTATGATAATCCAAATAATTTCTCCTTCATAAGATTCTTAAATTTGTGACATAAACTTATTATATATCTTATCTAACGCAGATTATGTTTGCAATTTTCCCTCGTGATTATTTTAGGAAATACTTGGTAGGAAATGCAACCACGATTGAAGAAATGTATCATGAGTTCCTTTAAAACGGGTCTCTTTTTTGAAACGTTTTCTCAGATTTTTTATAGTCATATACCTATTTCAATGTTACTAATGACACATTTTACTCATGTTCCAGTTGTTCCAATTTTACGCCTAGAATTAGGATCGAACATGAATCCGGACGACATAGAGGAAGGTGATGATGTATATTTTGAGTGCAAAGTTCATGCTAACCCTGGTGCTTACAAAGTTGTATGGAAGCATAATGTAAGTTGAAGTTCGATAAGTGAATGAAATTTTTATTCATATGATTTTCATAACAGTTACCATGATGTGAATTATATCACATAATTACACAAACCGTTATTCAACATGGATCCAACCTAAAAGTTTTTGAATTAAATGCTTTTTTGCTGTTGTATTGTATCGTAATTTCATTGCAATCTGGATGGTATGCTCCAGATTGGTTACCTTGGCGATCGGCAGTTCAGCCTTTATATGCACGTGGGCGTCTGCTCGTCCTTTGGCTTCGCTGGGGGTACGCGCCGCGGAACGTTCTAGATGGTTCTTATCTTTTCATAGGCATTTTCTGCACCATGCACACCTGCGTGATTTGCAACTAGCTCTAGAACATTCGCGTCGGCTGCCTAGCTATCAAGTGCAATCGATGTTTCGGCGATTGAGTCACGGTGCGTGCATCATGTTCGCCACACAAGCCAAAAGCAACATAGCATATTGTATGGTCTGATGCATTTTTAAAATAAATGTTTTCTCCATTGTTATTTTTGCATACTTGCTGAAGCAGTCGCGCTGATTAGACGTGTTCACGAGAAGCTGATAATTACTAGCGTGTGGACCATTCGTTATTGTGCCTACCGACATGTATGCAATTTTAGTGAAATAGCAGAAACGAAATGGTTGCAATTCATAATTATTAAAAATAATTGTAGTATTACTATAAATAATAGGAAAACCAGCGACAGCAGAATATGTAGTCGACTAAGCAATACGTAGCAAGGTGGAAGATGTTAATAGAAAATGAAAAGTCAACCCATTCAAATCTTCGAGTATTGACTGCTTTTGCACAAAACAAGTTAAATGAACAGCGAATAAATCAACTTCACATCTAGATGATAAACTACCGGAAGAAACGGCCACTGCAGAGAGCTTCATGGAAAATATTATATGAAAATTCACTGACGCGAATTCTTCTTCAATACGTACCGGAGCTCAAATCCTAGAATCCATACCACAACTACCAGAAGAAACAGCAAGTAGTAGCTATACGTTGAAGTAAACAAAGAATAGTAAGCACGTTCTTATAGCAGAGTGGTCGTTCAGTAAAGTGGTACCTATCTCGCTAGCTAAGAATGACAACATCTCATCGCGCTTGAACGTCCTGGGCATAAAAGAGAAAAATCATAATGGACAAATTGTGAACCTCATGGTCGGACAAACAATTATTTCCTTTAAGTATATGCATGCGTCAAATGTGTTAGTAGATATTTCGCATTCGGTGGTATGGTAAGAAGAGGAGTAGAACGATAATTGTATCTTACGCTTAGACCCAAAGCAGCTACAAATATTTTTATCTCGGCACAGTTTCATGAATATAAAGTTTATGACAGTTATTCAAATCGAAATATAAACATGAGCAGAAGGACCTACGTAGAAGCACTATAAAAACTGGTACACAACGGAAATATATGTGCAGCACATACATACCAAATTGTACACTTAGATTCAATGTTGCATACGGTTGAAATTAAGAAATCGGTAGACCGACCAGTAAAAAACACTGAATTATTACTCAATACGATAATAGAGCAGACAAAGGTACTGATTCAGTTGTCCTCATAAATATACAGAATAATAGACTCCTTGTAAGTAAGCTTAGAACAAAATTAAGTAATAACAGCTACCACATAAGAAATTTCTATACGGAATGTCAACGGTTTCCTCCAAATAGCGCCTAGGCTAAACATTTTTGCAGTAGCAAGGGAAATGTGACTTTAGTGGTTATAAAAGCTCCATTTACATGAAAGCAATACATTAAAATTCCTGCCTATCTCATACAGGGCATACGAAAAGGTCAAGATCACACAGAGGCTATATTTTACTGAGGTCAAGCAGATAAAAGATGTTCATATATACTTATGTCCGAGAAAGCTCTGTTCAGAAGTTATAAGCGGTCAAAGGTTTAAAAACAAAGTTCGTCTTACAATAGTATATTCAGAAAATCGCAGAGAATCGCATACGTGGAATAAACTATTCTCAATATGACATTTTTTTTTTTTTGAAGCGATAGGCCTTCTTATATTCTCCTTCGAAAATTCCATATAAGTGTAATGAAATATCATAAATATTTTCAGTTTCTAATACCTTTTCAATAAAGCATTCTTGAACATGTGTATATATGTTACGTCATGCAGTCCCTACTTCACCGGCGATCTCTGTTTCTGCTAAAACTTTCACTGATTAAGAACTGGAACTAGCTCTATGTAACTCGAATGTCTCACTCAATGACTACCTTAATGACTATTTCAATGGCTATTTTAATAACTTTTAACTAAAACCCGAAGAACTCTGGAACTCTTACAAGCTACCTCTATCTTTCAGAACGGACAATTTTAAGGAAGGCAAGCGCCTTCCCCAGAGGAGGAGGAAACTCCCTCCACGCCATGGTCTGGAGTGGAGGAGACACCTTATTCCGGGTTGGGCCCTTCAAAGCGTTACCGTCATGGGAACCCTTCCCGAGAGATGACCGTGACCACGTCACCTTCGGTTTACAACGTAGAAGGCCTGGGTTGCACGAAGCCGCCCCTCGTGGCCTGGCCCAGACTTTCTACGTCCCACCTGGAAGACAGATCACAACGGATCCTCTAGACCTGGCGAAGTGTTCCCTACAGGAGCACTTAGACCATTGCACCTTCATAAAGTCTAAAAATATCCTACATATATGAACTTCGTTTTCCATCTATTTGACCCCAATAAGTAGTCTAATTATGATCTCAACCTTTTTGGACGCGCGATATACAGGACAGTAATTCGTGAAAAGATTATTGTAAAAAAATCAGAGGTAGATTATGTGGGCACGACCACAGTAGCTGAAAACAATATCAAACATTTCCATTTTTCAATAGGTAAATCAGATTTACGAACCACTGCTATAGTTGCTAATACAGTATACGGCAGCATTAAGTTGGTGGCAGTTTGCTGATCTCCTGAATAGATTCATTACATCTGGTGATTACGTCGCCAAACATACTTTACGGAATTCCGAAATAAATTCGTCAAGTAAAATATTAGGATATGCTTTGTGTTCACTGTCGTTAGATACATCTTCAACTGGAGAACCGACATATTGTCTGCATCTATCGGCAAATCTCAAAATCTTTTTGACACCATAATTGTTGTAGGCTTAAAGAAATTGGTGTATACTTTTAGACAAATGGAACCTAAGAAAGTAGTTCTGCGTCTTCGTTAATTTTTTACAAAGATTTTTAGATTTTTTATAGAAAACGTAGAAATTGTATTGTACCTGTAGCAATACAGGTATACCGATAACGTTGCAGGGCACAAATGCCTTTATTTGGAATCAACTGTAATACTTGAGAAGAAATACTTCTACAAAATATTTATCTCGATCGAGTTCTTACTGTGTGTGAATGATATCACTATCCTAGTAGGGAACGCTCTGGACTATCAGGATCAACTCATAGGAACATTGGAATTTTATCAAATTGGTTGTTAACATAAAAAAAAACGAGAATAATGATATGCTGAATAGAGGGAAAAATTAAGAAACACATAAGACTAAAATACAATAGGAATGAGTCGAACATAGTGAATAATTAAGTCGGTGATCCGCCTTGAGTGTTATGTGGCAAATCATGATTGCATCAAGTGCAACAAATTAAGCAAATTAAATATCATTGACGCTACAACCTCTTTTATAATGGAGTACTCACTACGGAAATTGGATCTACCTACTATTGCTCCAAATGAAATCAACATATGCTCCTTTTTGAAACAAACACCGGACAAATACAATTTTGTTTCTATATGGAAACATCAATCCTTCACAAAGATGAAAATACAATGTAAGAAATATAATTGTAATGGTATGAATGTAAAGGTCACCGATACGCGGAGTGATGCATACTTGCTGTTCTACTTAATGTCCATGACTGGCTTATTTAGGTTTACATGCTTGAGAGCTAGTTGTCGCTGATGTTTCGTTGACCGTCCATTTACTTCAGGCTGAGATGCGTTCGTTGAAATGCTTCATAAATGTGCGTTACAGTGGCACTCATCAGAGTCAGCGACCTTTGTTTGGATGAAAGGCTTGTATGAAAAAGGCACTTGAAATCATTGATTGCGTTACTTCCGGTTGAGCTAGATCCGAAATTATTTGACTGGGAGTAATGTTTTATATGTTCTTACAGTTGTTATGCTCGTTTCTATATCTTCCGTTTTACGTATGTAACTATTGAATCGTAGCGGAATGAATGCCCTGTTTAATTTGAACAAATGCACTTTAATTATCACAAACATGTACTTCTGAGATATTGCAAACGACTTCTCGAAAACAAGTGTAGGCCCATAAGCTAAGCGATTCCGTACGCCTAACGAACACCCCCTCCATTCAGGATATGCAGATGTAGTAGTGGCATACATATTTAATTCAGTTACGTAGCATTAAATACAGTCGATTGTCCATTCTGAGCTTCAACAGTAACATATATTATCACTTGGTAGTCAAGTGTTTGCTACAGTATTCATACCCTTCAAACCGAGTATATTTTAACATACTATTTACAGACATAATCTTTTACCAATATACATTAAAACATTGTACATAAAGTTTACTTCATTTCCTACTCGCAAATTGCAGTGGATATTGTAATGGATAAAGATTGTAACGTTATTGTAATTTTTGGAATTACGCTGTTCAGCGCTTGGATAATAAATTACGTTAGTGTGTAAAAACAAAGGTGTTCCGAAAGTATTCTAATTGAAATATCAGAACTACCGAATAAATACTGTAATGCTTCATTCTACAATGACCGTTTATCGTTTAATTGGCAAACGGTTGCATAAGCCTAAATAACGAAACATCCAAATATCGTGCCTCGCAACAGCGATAATCCTCAGGCCTCAATCTTATTTGTCTACTAGCTTCAATTTTCCGTTAACGGTTCTTCCTCATATTATGACCTGTATAACTTTTTCAAATTGCGAGCTTTGTTACCTAAATTTGCTAATATCAGGACACCGCAATACTGAGAAAACTTGGGACGATAACCTTCATGATTACATGCATGCAATCACATCACCAAACATATCCAACTAAATTTCTCAAATTTTTTCAATTACGTACACTGCTCCGTCGATATTTAGCAAATTATATCCCACTTTCGTGAAAAGAGATCTATTGTAAATTCGGAGCAGTTAGTATAATTGTTATCATTCTTCGTACGCAGTTAAGTTTGTTTTTAAAAGCTATGCTACCTTGATAATGCTAAATTTTAATACCAAACTGCCAGTGCAATTAGGATGTAATTAATACTACAACCTATATTCAGTGAATTAGGTATATTCACCATTTAATTGTTTCAAGGGTGATATAGGTGAAGATTATTTTGATTCATTAATTAAATGCGTGAATAAGTGTTTTCAAACGGATTTCTAAAAATTCTAATGGGAAAGACGAAGGAATAGGTTCCTAACGTTTTACATAAATTAGTGTAATTTTGGAGAAATGCACGAATAGGGATGGAGAGGAAAAATGAGTATTGATTCATCAGAATATGTAGCCAAAATAAGAGTCAAATTGAAAATAGAATGTTAAAAACGACAATTTGAGGTGAAGAAGATTGGTATAATATTGAAGTTTTGGATTGTAATCAGTTAAGTGGTCCGGCGTAATGCGTGTATAGGTATTAAAGTATCTTTAACTACTTCGGGAAGAAATGGATTATTAATGAATGTGATCTCTTCCAGAAAACAATACTTCATTCATAAAGCATTATCACATTCTGAACGAAAAAGGCATTCATTCCAAATGAAACATTATATATATAAACAGGTCAATCAATATTTCAGAAATTTAACTATTCCATGTATACTGTTGCAGGGAAATATTATACAGAATGATGCAAAGAATGGTGTAATAGTGCAACAATATGACTTAGCTTTGAGAGAAGTTACTCGTTCTCAAGCTGGAAATTATACTTGTATTGCGAGCAACGTTGAAGGAGATGGCAACAGTAATACTGTCGAACTTAAAATTATGTGTGAGTATTAAATAGTCTTGAAACCTTAAGTCTGTTTCATATTTAGCAGATCATGTACTAATATGCGACGTAGGAATGTTAAAAATTGTTATAACTTCATTTAATTTTACTTTCTCTGATTAACAATATCTAAACATAATTTCTCCTATAGTATCCTGTCCTCAGACGCTTTTCATAATAAATTGTAACTAACTGTTTTATTTGTTCATTAATTCGTTACGTTATGTTCATTGGAAATTAATTTCATTCAATGAGATTAAGCGTATGTCCCATTCCAAATTGTTAGATAAGCCGGTAGAATGGTATTACTTTTTAGAATTCTGTACGACAAGAACCGGCATCCAAATTAGAAAATTCAATCTTTCAAAATTAGTGACCGACATATATTCGTGTATAAAAATGTACATGAAATAAATCGCTTCATATACACGAATTATTGCTTTGCGTACACAAACTATTCAAATTCCTATAAATGAAATCAATTTGCCAATATAAAGACCCATTTACTTTCTCATTGCACAGAATGATTAAAAAATATATGTTCATACTTCTGGAGCTGAATTTGACTATTCACTAGACTATACTAAAATAAGCAGTGTCCCGTATGAACATATAATGTATATATGTATTCATATCTTCCAAATTACAGACCATTAACGGAAACCTTGTGATCTCTAATATCTTACACTTTTATTTGTGGGTCAGGTCGGGATCTATTGTTTGATCAATATAATTTATCAATGTTTGCATATAATCTGCAAAAATGTCTTTAGAGTGGATTTAAAACTGTCCTACAGCTAACTTTAATTTAAAGACATTGCAGAACACAATATGAAGACGTGTAGCAGTATGTGCTGAAGCACCTATAACAAACATATTTAATCAGCTGTAACACGAAAATTAAAGTATTTAGGGTATGCGACAATATGACATTCTTTCATGCATACCATCATGTATACGTTTACTCTCTTAAGTATGGAAACGTATACCCCTACAAATATTCCTCGATTATAACTGGTAAACTTTGGTTAAGCATTGAGACAATGATATTCAAAAGGTCTTTCCGTTTGCGAACCTGTAATACAATTAATGCAGTTAACGTTATTCAATTGAATATAGTTTTCGGGATGCAAAGAAAGATCTAACATATTAACTTTTATTATCTGTGACTCGACACTCATATAATCATACTTCATGAGATAATCACAGTTATTGGAATATTAGTAATCGAAAATATATACAAGTTTATCGATATATACACATATTCAAAGTCGATTTTCTCGATAATGAATGAAAGAACAGAAGAAAAAGTTTTATTCAATTTTTTCAATTCGTATTTTCATATAGAAGCATCTGCTACTTCTAATGATGTGGTCGGTCAATAAGTAAACTTTCTGTCCGATATGTCACTTGCCGATATATTTGTTTCATATCAAAGATATATTTTTCCAATACGTGCGGCATATAATAATGCCGCATATCAACATGCTACGTTCTTGCATGGAACACAGGATTCTGCATTAGCTTAATTCTTGACTAATAATTGTAAAATATAGTCTGACTTCTTTCGTGACAGTATATCCAAAGCCATGCAAGCATTTACGCAGAGCAGACGGACTGTCTCCCGAGCTAGTTTCATCGAATGTATATCTCCCACAGTAGCCATAGCACCACTTTGCAATTCACTAGAGTCGCATGAAATGATCATTCAGTTCGAATATGAAAACAGTGTATTTTATTCGTGCACTTCAAATATGAGTCTCAATTGTTGTACCATTTAAGTATGCAACAACCTCTATTCGACTGTCAGTGAATCCTTTCCTAATTTTTACTTTAGTCGCTTAAATTGCTAACGGTATACGTTACACGAGGTCTTATTGTTACTACTGTGTGCATTAAAACAGCAATCTTTTACGATACCCAAATAGCACTGTAGCTGCGCCATTGTTACCTTTCAATCGTAAGACTCGAAAAGAATGCATCCCTAAAGCGGCCAAACATTTCCCATTAAAAAATACATCTTAAAATCTTTTTCCACTTCCCATAATATGTAGGTGTTATTTATATCAAGGGTTGGCTTACCTTTAACGCGACTTATATATTATATACACTATACCTTCTCCAAATTCTATTCCTACATTCTAGACACCATTACTCGGAAAGAATACCTTTGTAAACATTTACTCCTTTAAATGGAATCTTGTATTTGTAAGGAGGTGAGGTTCGGGGAATCGAAGGGATACGGGTTAATATTAATAGAAATTCTTTTGGTCTCAAATGTTTATTCGGCACCCGTCAATCTCTTACTCTGTCGAGAGTTGCTAACGAACTGCCACGAGACATGCGTGCGGAAACCTCTCCCAGATGCTCTCTCTCGATCGTTACGGAACGATCAAGAGCGATCGCGTATATAAAATCGCCGCCATCAAAGTAGCCGGCCGACGGGGTTCAGCCGTCGGCGGCGGCTCTCTTACTTATTCGAGAAATAAACTTACATCCTCGTTCCTAAATTTCGAAGAATACAGTTGAATCCAACGAAACATTTCTGCAGTAAGTGTAACATTACTTATTTGCTAATTTTCAACGTGTAGTGCAAAATATTTGTAAACTTTAATTTTTACAGCTTGACTCAAATTTCTCTTGCATTACAGCCACAGTTTGCTTTCCTTTTAAATATGCATATCTCATATGCATTTATCTTCCCCAGATGTACTTTTTGTAAACTATGAATATTCTACAAGTGATTCCATTGGTAACTAAAACCAAGTGATTTGCATCATCTATATATCCTTTTCATGAGATCAGTACGAAGTGTGATATTTTTTTGTCAGTGAAATGAATGTATGAATGGAACGCGTGCGGCCCTGAAAGGATGTCAACAGTGTTCGGAACATGGAGTGAAAATGACCACGTGCAAGAGGATCGAATGTATGGGACGCTTATACCAGAGTTGAGTGCGAAAAACGAGTGAAAGTTTATGAATGCGTCCTGTATTTCAAGTTCCAGGCCCACCGAGATCGCGTGGCAAATGCATGATTGAGGAAGAAAGCCTGATTATGAAAGAAGAGTGCAATGTTTAAATAGGGACGTCAGCATGCGGATGAGTCAGTTTTAAATCAGAACTTATGGTTAGCAGTTTAGAATTATCAGCATTGAAAGTTAGCTTTAAAGCAGAAGTTTTAGAATCGGTCGTAAGAGAGTTGCTAAAGCGTTTATTATTTCCTATTGCACTACACAAATCCGTTATTTTATTAATAAAGCTCATTTCTGTTTTATTAAGTGAAACAATATTATTCTGGTCGATCCCTACCAATACGATCAAAAATGAATTCCTTTCTTGTTTCCGAAATACATTGTGTTTGGAGGGATCGACTGGAATAAAATATTATTTACTCTTAATAGAATTTATGCTTAATAGAATAAAATTACCTTTACTATAGAATAATAACTATGCAAGCTTGTCTCGACCGACAACAGCTTCACCCGACCTTTTGTCTCACGTCCTTCATAATACTTTTCCTGATACAAAGACAACTTTCTTACCACTCTTACACTCGATCCCTTTTCACTTTCATCCTATGCCACAAACACTTCCTGGACCGCACTTGTTCCATTCCTACATACGTGTTTTAACCTTTTATTCGCATTTGTCGTTTAAAACTCCTTCCAGTTAATGTAACAGCTACCACACAGAAAATAGCACTCTTGTCATTCCATATAACTCATAAAGTGGAAAGTAAGTTTGTCTATAAATCCAGAATACTCTAATAATTTGAGGCATGGATTCGACACATTAAGACATGAAAAGCAGTTCATATAAATCTATGGCCGACATAATTTTGATTCCGAGTTACAACTGCTTTCATATTATGCTTACCTACTTCAAAGAAATTGCTCAAAGTGGACACATTCAGTTTCAGTGCAGGCTTGAACGTATCTTCTTATAGACTTTCCCACTCCTTTGAATATAACAGGCATTTTTCGGCTCCGCTGGTAACTCTCTTGGACACGACGATATAGATTTCGAAATTGCTTTCTGACATGTTCCTGACTAAAGGCCATCGGTGCCTTCATAAATAAATGCCAAGTAGGCTTGAATCAGCCGACCTTGTTGGTTAATAAGTTGACCTTCCCTGATCAATCTATTCCTTTGGAATATCCCATTTTAAAATTGTTTCGACTGTCAACTTAAATGTGATTCAGTCGCACCCAGTATGAGCCATATGCCATTGCTAATACTTTCTCTAATAGTCCATTTTCTATATTTCCATCCCATACTATGTTTATAGTGTTTATAGTGTCACTTTAGCGGATACGACTGAAAATCCCTTCTTTTGAAGTCACTGCTGTTCTGGTTCTGAAATTTCCTGCATTCTGCGAACTCCAAACGCACTAGTACCCTGACGTTGTTCATATGTTCTATCAAACATCTTCCAGACGCTTTTTCTGGACAGCGTCCAGTGCTTCTAGGACAGCTTTGCATTCAGCAAGTTTGTACATCGATAATATATTGAAAACATGCACCTCATGTCTACATTTTCATAAACAGCCGTTACCAATGTCAACAGAAATTTTCGGACGATTGTATTGGTATCGTTTCAAGTACATTGTTTTTACTTAAAGGAAATACTAAATATATTCACGCAAATTACGATATACGCTTCACTGAGTACACAATCGCACATAAGAAACGTGGTGTAATTTATAAACAGAGGAATGAAAAACAGCTGTAACGCAGAAACAAAGTCATATGTGGTATATGTTTATATGAAGCTACATTTGAACGTACCGAATCTATCTCAGGTGTTATACCAAAATATTTTGAAACGGTCCAAATTGTGAATCTGCGGAACTCTTTAACCTCATTTCTAAAATAGGCACTTAATGTTATTTCTATGTTCATAAGTATATCGGCATCTAATTTTGAAATTTGACATTACATGTGTGTTATAGAATTTTGTTCTTATCATGGTACATATGCAGAATTCCTTCACTTCTAA